TACTGACAAATGGCTGATAATGTTACTGTTTCAGAACAACAGCAGGTTAACATATGAATCCTTTTATTTGTATCTAAGTACAGGTGTATCTCAATAAATTAAAATAAATATATTCTAATAAATTAAATAATTAAATTAATTAAAACAGATTACTGCATTGTTCAATGATGTTGAATTTTGTGTATGTTGTTGCAAAGTTTGTTACAGGGTTAGAGTATCTAAAACAGGGAGGAAATAGAACAGAAGAGGAGAGAAGAGTGTGCAACTTTCTTTATCGTTCTTGTTCAAATGATCCGTTAGTCGGCTCCTTGTTAAACTTGGGTGTGCTCCTCTTGTATGAAGTCTATGGGTATAGTACCTGCAGGAACCTTATCCTACTTTCACCCCTGACCTTTGGACCAAAAAAAGTCATCATTCTGGGGCGCACAGATTACAGAGTGGATTAGCATGCGTGCCCCATGTATGGGGACCACAGTCCCTACAGCGGTCTGGGGTTCGAGTCTGGCCCTGACCATGTGCTACATGTCCTTCCCTCTCTCTGTATCTCCCCACATTTCACCCTGTACTATCAATAAAAGCCAAAAATGCCCCCCAATATACTCCAAAATAACAAAGAATAAAAAAGAAAAAGAAAAACACATATCAACAGTGTACTATGTTTTGATCTGGAGTAAGAGAGTATGATGTTGCTCACCCTGCTCTCAGTGATTTTGTAGGTGTTGTTTTTTCTCAATGCAACCATCTTTCCTGTGTTCCTTGACACACACACTGACCATGGCACAATAATGTTGTTTGACAGGCTGCTAAGGTCAACCCTCAGGCTGTGTGAGAGCTTCACCCCAGGGGATCGTTGGAGAGACACATAAACTTTACCTCTTTACCCACCTGACACTCAGATATTCAGTCTGAGTCTGAATTGTGTGTGTGTGTGGGTATGTGTGTGTGCGTGCATTTGTGCGGTGGGGGTGAGGGGGGGTTAATTGGTGGGTAGCTTCCTCTTCTTGCGCTCATGCTACTTACATGGAAGGGAGTGAGACAAAGAGGTCACATGTGAGCCTACAGTGGAAGTCAGGTATAAATGATATGGTCATGAAAGCGTGTAAGCCTCACGATGTACCTGTTTCATCAGCTGTGTCTCTGCTGTTCTCTTGTTTTTGAGTGTGTGTGTGTGTGTGTGTGTATGTGTGTAACAGGTGGAAATAGACACAAAAACACATTTTCAGATGACTGACATTTTGGAAATACACAAAAAGAGACAAGCAGCTTACATAATCAAAACAAATAGATAGCATGACGGGAGGGAAAACCTTTGAAATGCATTCATGAAATACCACATCCCATAGCAAACACTGAGTTACATCCTTTAACCCAGACTGTCTCTTTATTTAATCATACCGACGATATGTGCACAGAATAAGCACCAATTATGTGTGTTAAACGTTGGAGAAAAAGACAGGACTTCATGTACTTTTTTCACTGTTGGACATGAGCTGAGGTTTGTTTGTTGAGAAGAGCTTCCCTTTATAAATCTGTACATGGAGAGAAAATTATCAGGTTAAGGTAAAATGATGTCATTCTAACAGGCTTCACTTAAGACGAATCTAGAGGGGAAAAAAGCAGGAAAAACACCTGGAGAATGAATGTCCTGACCTGACAGGATCAGAACAACATTTCCAATAGACTATGCTCATCCACAGAATCATTGTTTTGAGTTATAGTGTGATATTCAAATAAAACACTTTCCTTCCAGGATGAAACCAGGGAGGCTAACAGACTTTTCAAAAGCTGAGAGGATCAATATGAGGAAATCTATGGTTTCTCTTGCTCTTAGCTTTTCTCCATCCCACTGGGAAGGTGAAAAACTATAAAAGCAACAGAGAGTGTTTTATGTTGTGACAGAAATATTCTCCATTTGACATATTCAACAACCTGTATTAATTATGTTGAGGATAATAGAGATGATGTGCTCATAGTAAATCCCAGGCACTTATTGCAGATTGCTTTTGCTCTCACTTGAGTGGAAATTATGTAAAGATGTCATTAAGTCATGCACCTTGCAACTGGAGGAGTAATAGGATATAACACTCAGTGGTACCAGATGTCAAGGTTTCCGACAACTGAGATTGGCTCTTGAGCCAGAGATGAGCAAAGACAGCAAAAATGTCTCGGCCAGCTTTGTGGTCTATATTTGACATTTTTCCTATCATGTCAGAAATCATGATCTGTGCTGTCAGGTTCTTGCAGCACCTGGTCTTTCCTGTAATAATCAAAGATGAAGCTGGATTAAAGGGTTAGAAAACATTAAAAAGGTCTTTTGCTATTCAATGGCTTATACTTACTGTGTAACTGCAGTATTATCAGTTTGAATCAATCTCCATCCTCTTAAACAGCATTGTTTTCAGCTACTGAACTGAGTTTTCTCACAGCTGTTTGTCAAAGGAGTAAATATGCATGTGGAACTTCTATTGGCCGTCAATGAAGGCCTTATAGAGCTTATAGAGAGTGGGCCTTAGGAAGTCTAGCTGTTTTTGCAGGATCAAGGAGAGTTGTGAATCAGTTCTTTAAAGACCCACTCTGATGAAAACCGTGTTTTTCTTGTTGTCTACATGTTCATATGGAATTTTTCTGATGCTACAGGACAAATCTTGAGGAATCTAAGAGCAAAGTTGCATTTCTGAGAATTTCTGCATTCCAATCACTGTGATTTTCAGAATCAAAATTTAAAAACCAATGAGAGCACCTCAAATTCCAAAAATGAAAATAATTATAATAATAATTGGAGTGAGACTTTATGACATTGAAGATTTTACGGATGTCATCAAGGCAACCAATGCTAAAGGTGCAGACTGTTGAAAGATGGTTGTATCCTCACTGCACAGTTTTTAAAGGGCAGGGGAATGCTCAGGGGGAATGTCAGAACCAGTTCAATAATACTTTGGGACCTGGAGCTAGTCCTTTATAATGCTCTGCAGCAAATCCCTTTCAAACCACTGAAGAATTCATACCTGAAATAGCTGTCAGTCATGACAGTTCCCATTTGCGGTGACATCCCCAAAGAGAACTGGGGGGAATTCAAGCACTACACAGAGAGTTTTACAGGTTACAGGTTTAGACTGGAGGATGGGGGTGCAGTCAGGCAATACCAAGTAGTCCTAGTATTTGGGAGTACAACTTAAGCTGCAGAAACTGATAAATGCAAGCTTTCCTGCCTGCTCAGGGGGCTCAAAATTACTCTTCATCAGGACATTGTTTGGAACAGAGCGCTAGTGATGGTTTTGAAATTCGTACTCTGTGTCTGTGTTATTTGTTGTTTTACAGAGTCTTTACTCATATAATGTGTTGTTGACTGGAGAGGTGGTCTCAGTGCAAAAACTGTAGATTATATTTGTGTAACAATGAGCCTTAAAAGGAGGGGCTGTCTCTCCACAGTGAAGTTGCTCAGGCTCAGGTACTAACCAGGGAAAAATAGAGTGATGTAGCTTTAAATAGCTTAGCTGGGTATGCCATTGCTGGTGTTTCCTTTACAGTAATCCAGGTCTTCTGTCAAGTGTCGACATTATTCATTCATGGAATTTGTAAGGAGGTGGAGATAGGCTCTTCACTCAAAGAACAACGGTTGAAATGTGACCCTCAAATATGCATGCAAGTATTCAGTGTGAAGAGGAAAAGAAATTAATTTCTCAGCTTTTCATATTACCCACACCAACAGTAGAGTGATCAGGCTTAGAGAGGCCACCTGTGTCTAGTTCTCAATTAGGTTATTGGTTTACTACAGAAAAAATCCACTCTAAAGGTTTGCCATGATTTCTTTTTTTATGAATAGAGAAGAAGACTGGCATTACAGTACAAGGCTGAAGCTCAGAGGGGACAGAGCGTTTGCCGCTGCTGCTCCTAAGCTCTGGAATGAGTTGCCCTTGAAAATTAGACAGGCCTCCTCATTTCCTGTTTTTAAATCCCTTTTAAAAACACACTTTTATTCATTGGCTTTTGATACATTGTAGTGTTAATTTGTTTTTTATCATCTTAGCACTTGCTGTGAGCTTCCTTATTTATACACTTATTTATTCTTTTGCATTGATGTATTTCTGCTCACTTTATCTTGTTCTTTGATTGTTTTATTTGTTTTTATGTGTCATTGTACAGCACTTTGGCTACCCTTGTGGTTCTTTTAAATGTGCTATAGAAATAAAGTTGATTGATTGATTGATTGATTGATTTACTATGGGACAAATGGTCACAGTTTAACACTGCAGATGTGTGATGTTTTTCACACACAAACAGGTGCTTCAGTCTGAAAACACACAGTCTTGATGGTCCATACAGAATCTAGTATGATTAAAACCTGTTTTATTCAATGGTATTTTTCTTGGGCACCAAGTTGTCTTTTTGATCAAAAGGTCATTTTTTTTCTCCTCTTGAATACAAAATGTCTGAGACCAAAACTTAGGACGAATCAACAATTTACAACTGATGACATGTATGTTAATAATAAGGGGATTTAATGTCATATAAACAGTTTCCTTTCTAGATACAGACAAAACCAATAACAAAGCTAAGTTCTCTCCTATGGAAACAGAACCTTTTTCTTGAACATGTGTAATCTAGGTTGCATAATTGTTTTTAGCATGCCACAGATGTTTCATTTAGACTACAGGGGGCTGTGTTCAGTGACTGTAAAGGGTAATAATATGCCCCCTTTAATGCTTGCCCATAATTAACACTTGTCAGTCTGAACAATGTAATTAAATTGTGTCTGATTTTGATTGTAATGCCTCAACAACATGTGCAGACTGCAGACATGTTCCCTTACACATTAATCACACCTATGCTGTGCAATGATTTTAAAACTGAGTGTTATCTGTGTGTGTGTGTGTGTGTGTGTGAGTATGAACAGACCCGATAGTATAGAAGTTTTTGCCATAATATTTTATCTGTGGAGCCAATCAGCGGGCTACAGGGCTCCTATTACAGCCAGGACACTCTCAGAGACAATAAATTGTGAGGAATTTCCCCAGGTCTCACCCACACCCTAGATTTACTTCCACCTCTTGAAGAGCTTTACATTATTGATTTCTCTCTCCATAAGTACCATGCTAGTAGTATCAATATACAAATCAATGCAGTTTTTTTCTCTGTTCTGATTACATTTCTCTAGTTCCTCTGTTTGTATGGTTGCTTTATGCCACAGGTAAACCAACCTTGACTTAAGCCTTTGGGCTTGATAATCTAAAATGGCGCTCTTGACTCTGACTTGAAGTCCCCCCACTCTCTTTTGAAAATCCTCTACAGGTCAAAGACATGTATGCAGGTGAGCAAGGATCTTTGATGATGCTTGAATAAAAATAAATAGAGACCATCTGATTCCTGTGCACATCCATCCTTAATCCATAGGGAAGCACCACAGTCTCAAGTGCAGGGTTATCATCCTTTAAGAGTTTTTCTGTTGCATGTTCGTCATCTCTCTTCATCTCATTCAGTATCTGAGTAAGATACAAAATTCATTGTGTGGTTGCTGTCAAACCCTCTGTATTGAATTCTACTGTTGGCTACCTTTGATTTCTTTGAAAGAAAAAGAACATTTTCAAGTAATTCTGTGCTGTGCCTCATCTACTTACCTCTGTTGGTCTGAGCTACAAGGTCAAATTTTTTTATCATCCCTGTTCTCAGAATACTATGTTAGTTCATGCTGTACTGAGTCCTCCAAACCCTTAAACTACACCTTAAACTAACACATATTTGATAACTACTCTTTGTTGTTACTTTTGCTGTGTTACAGTTTGCTGTTGTCTAATGACATATCGTCTATAACTTAAAATCTTATTTGATTGACAACTTTGGCATTACATGAACAAAAGGTTAACCTTTTCAGTTCACACATTTATCACAACACTGCAGCACTGTTGGACAACTTATTTGTCATGTGGTTCTAACACTGCTGCTGACACCTTGGGCACAACAGGCACAACAAAAAGTAAACTATTACTGCTAAGCTCTGGAAAGTGGAGTGCTACATTGTACCTATGACTGCGTTTTCATTAAGGTCTCACTATTATGATTATTTCTTTATCATTTCCTTGAAGTAATAATCACTGTATTAATCATTTTGCACTGCAGACGTTCTTCTGCCTTAGCATCTCGGCCTGATTGCATTTCCATGAAGTAATAATCATAAATGTCCTTCCTTGAGTTGCGTCACCCCGCTGCAGTCGATGGACTTGCCCGGAGGTCTCTGTACAAACAAGCAGCCGCTGGAAGAGAGTAGGTGAGTTGTGTTTAGTCTCTTTGCTAAAGAAATAAGGCAAAGTTAAAAAGATATTTGGTGGCTAGTGCTGTGGCTGGGACTCTATACAGTATGTACTGTTGATGAAGTTAGGTGCTGTTCTGAGCATTATTTGTGGCTGTAGAGTGGCGTTTTGGTTGAGCATGTGGCTCTCTGTATTTCTATCTGCGGTCTTTACTAAAGTTGGTATAACTAGAGAAGCAAGCAGTCGACAACATTAATCTCTTGACAGGGTGTCTAACTCAGTGTTACAGTGTGTTTGACCCAAACTTAATTTTACGCCGGAATATCCCTTTAAATTGTTAAGTAATAGCTGTTGGATAAGAAAACATACTCAATAATTTACAGTACAAAACAACGTAAAAGTGGGGGCTGAAATGAAGTCAATGTATCCCAACATTGAACTCAAAAATGTGATAGGAAAAGTAAAGGAGCCTAAGTCATCTTGCATTGATTGAATTCTCCACAGAGACACGCTGTGAGTTCACTATTCACTGATGTCACCACATGACATTTGTCACACAAGTCTCTTCTGTTTCACTAAATCTAACCATTTGTTCTCTGCAGAGCCTTTACTCCGCTGTTTTCGGTGAATTGTCCTCTCTCTCTCCCTCTCTCTCCTGTCTCTCTCTCTCTCTCTTTCTCTTAACAAATCGTGTGAAAGGAACAGCAGAGTCTTCATCAGAGCCGTGTGGGAAGAAAGTTGGAGAGGAGGGAGAAGCGGGTCACTGCTCCTCACACATTCTGCTCAGCACCACGGACAGAGAAGAGCTGCGAGCGCGAACGACAGCTCCACATCCACAGGAGTGAAGTGTTGGGGAGTCAGAGGAGTTTTTTCGGGATATTTAGCCTAACATTTTTTTTTAAATTTGAACGCACAAGGAAGTGGACTCCTTCGCGTCTGCTAGCTCAGTAAGCTTGCTCTTATCTCACTATCTGACACTTCTTTATTTTTGTTTTTGCGTGACATAAGATGTGAGCAGATCCACCGTGCGTTTGAGCCGTGGCTCTGGTGCCAAAATTATTTTTGCTTTACGCATGGCACAGCGGACGACCGTAAGTCTGTAACGAGAGGTCAGTAACCGGAGTTATTTACAGCACTGGGGAAATGAGGATTTTTGATGTGTAGTTCATGATCAGTAAGAGGTTGTAGTGTGTTATTAAGGACACCACGTGTTGGAAACTCGTTAGGAGACTGAAATAGGGCATAAAAAATATTTCTCTCTGGATGATTGATGGAAAAACACATTTCTCCTTGGAGTTGCCAACTGATTAGGTGATGGAAAGGAAAGTAAGAGGTGAACTCGTGTTCTCAGGGTGATCAGAGCACAGAATTGAAGGCTCAGTAGAGCACACAAACACAAACTGTTTGACAATCTGTGAGAGACACTGCAAAAGTTATCCCAAACCAGACCTGGATAATCCAGTTTAGCTCAGTTTTTCATTGTAGTGACAGCTGATTTTCCTCCTCCTGCTGATACCAAACATGACACAGGTGAGCATTTTTTCTCTGAGCTGGTGAAAACAGGAAGTTATCATTCTAGACTCTGTGGTACCATCTTTCTGTCTCAATGGAGCCCTCAGACCAGAGCCACTGGCTCCCCTTTCAATCGGACCTGAACTCCACCTTCCCAGCCACACCCTCACTCTTCTTTTCCTACCCCCGTCTCTTCAACATCTCCTCCAACATATCCACGCAGAGCGTCCCCTTCCAGGGCAGCAGCACGCTCCTGACAGCCATCATCTCCCTCACAGTCTTCGTGGTGGGTCTGATCGGCAACACTCTGGCCATCTATGTGGTGCTGCGTTACGCCAAAATGAAGACAGTCACCAACATCTACATCCTGAACCTGGCTGTGGCTGATGAGCTCTACATCCTCGGTCTGCCCTTCCTCACCACACAGAACGTGCTCTCCTATTGGCCCTTTGGCTCCTTCCTGTGTCGCGTGGTCATGACAGCGGACTCTATGAACCAGTTCACATCAATTTTCTGCCTGACGGTCATGTCAATCGATCGTTACCTGGCTGTGGTCCATCCAATCCGCAGCACTAAGTGGAGACACCCCAGGGTGGCCAAGGTAGTGAGTGCAGCTGTATGGGCCGTGTCCTTCGTGGTGGTCCTGCCTGTAGTCATCTTCTCTGATGTTCAGGTAGGCTATAGACCAAAACCTTGTCGCTCCATCCCCATCCTGAAAGTTAAAATGAACTTTGAAAAACATACAAACAAACACACAAAAAGTGAGAATTCAAGATTTTTTTTTAACACAAAGACATCCTAAAAAGTTAAAGTTAAAATCCTACCCACCTTTATGTCTGACCTATCAAAAGCACTTGAGTCAGCTGTGGGCTATTATGGCTCAGTCACAGGAGAGTTGTATAACATTTTCCCAAAAAAAAAAAAATTTCTTGAATTCAAATCAGGAGCACACTGACTAAACACATGATCCATCTTTTGTTTAGTAGGCAGTAAAGCGCAACATCAGATCTTCACCTCAAAACCATTGTGGCTGTGAAATATCACAAAGACGATATTGTTGTGACATTTAGAGAAAACTTGAAAATCAAATGACAAAGCCAGTTAAATTGAGGAAAGACTTCATTAATAATCACAGTAAACTCACATGCCATCACACATTTCCAATAATATTCAAATGTTGGACATTTTTTGTCTCGCTTTTATGTTGTATTTCCTGAAATGTCAAACTTTTCTTTATTTGGAAGTATCCTACATCTTGAAGACTGTAAGTTACCAAATTAAATGAAAAGAGTTAAAAGAACAATCACAAAGTATAAGTGTTCAGTGATCAGTAACCTAAAGAGGCAGAAGTTTGAACTTTTTTATTTCAATTCATAAAAACCGTGAACATCAGCAGCTAATCACCTCTTGGTGGGCTGCTTCAGCTAGCTCATTTGCAGTCTGTTATGGCTTCATCGTTTACCCTCCCTTTCTATGATGTTTGGCAACCAGCATAAAAGACCACTGCTATTGTGATGCAGTATTTTCAGCCAGTATTGATTTTTTTATTGCCTCAAAAAAACAGAAAACTTGAAAACTTGAAAGAGGTCATAAACAAAGTAAAAGGACAATTTTCTTTGTAAGTGGCTTACATGCACCATTTAGAGATAAAGACCTTTCTCTGTATAAAAGTATAAATATATGACTTTATCTCCGATTATAAAAGACTGAAGCCAAAACACTCTTCCAATGGCCACTGACAGAATGTAATGAGGATGTTTGAGGCAAATGGGTATGTGTACTCCCCACACATTAACACAACAAAGACTCTTCAGCTCAAAACAGTCCATATCTTAACGGAGGTTAAGGAGATGGTTTGAAACATACGCTATAGTTAGAGAAGGCCCAGTGTTAACTATTCCTTTGCTGTCCTTCTCATCTGGTAAAAGAGGAGCTCCGCTTGCTTACAAATCGGTCAGGGACAATGTCCCATCCCCTTTTTGTAGCATCAACATTGAATCAAAACAAAACTTTGCAAACAAATAACCACTACCAGCAAATAACCAGCACATACATCAGTGTGATGTGAACTAACTGTCACGTTACGTCAGCCAAACCATTTTAAGATGAGGACCAGCGACTCTGCAGGATTCACTGTTGGCTGCTTGGGAACTGATTCTGTCCAAGTTCTTCAAAGCGCTCTAATGGTTCTTGTTTAATTCAGCTAATTGATGATGTAACTGATGTTAGCCAGTGAACTGTTGAGCATTATCACACACCTGTGAGCTTAGCCTTTGACCATACACGGACACACAGCCATGCTGATTTTACAACAGCTCAAAGTCCTGTTTAATACTGACATAAAACAACAGCAAGTTTAACATGGTGGTAATCCTGTCATCCAGATTGCTGTTTTATTGAAATTTTAAATGAAGAAGAACATTTTCACACACAAGACCCTCAATTAGGAATAAAACAAAGGATACTGAGTTCGCTTTGCTCGAAACCTGTTGGTGGACACCAATGGCGAGGAATGTTGTCGAAGTCTTTTTAAGGCTTTTATACTGTTTTATAAATATGCTGATAATGCATAATTTTTAGGGCTGGGACGATATGCTTTTCTCCAAATTGGTTCTTCTACAATTTTTTGGATGCCGATTCGAATTAAATTGCGATTCTACGATATTATCGATTTTTTCAATCTTTAGTCGGCACTTTTAATGATTATGATTGTCTACCGACTATTCCAGGAAGCATATTTCCCCCAAAAATACACATCACATGTAAGTCAGTTTTTAAGATTTGTTCTTAAATTTAAATAAAAAAAATAAAAAAAAACTTATGTGGATCATTTTTTGCTCCTGCCCCTAATTATTAGGGTCTAGCTCTTGTTCAGTAGTAGCAGATTGGTATATATTACATTAAAAACAAACCTTGAGATATGTAACTAACTAAACATTTCACTAACTTATGGTAAAATATTATATTATATTACTTATCCACAAATATTAATGAGACTTTTTTGAAATAAGAACTCCTTCAGCAGTAAAGTACTCATGGCTGATCATTAGGGAACTTTTTTGCTTGCATAGGTGTAATATTGAGAGTTGCCACCTGATATGAAATACCTAAACTGAACTTCTGAGTGTGGGATTAAGTTTCTCAGGTTTGAGAAAAATCAAGTCCTCCAGCCAAGAGGACACTAACTAAGGGCTGGATAGTTCCCATAAACAGGCTCGAGTGTTAAACAGAAAGCCATAATAATAATAATGAAGTGCTCTTTATCAATGCTTCTTACTCATCAGTAAAAAAGCCTTGTTGCAGTCCGATTGCTTTGTCTCTGTCCAATGTTACAACTTGGCTCAGTAAAGGAAAAGGACATAACACAAATTCAGAGGTTTTTGAAAAAGAAAAGTTGTAAAAAATTGCATGGAAATCCAAAGATGAGGTAGCATAGGGGGGCTGGTGAGTGCTGTTTAAATAACAAGGATGGACAACAAGAAGGACTCTAAATTAGAGTTGAAGGGTAAACCGCTTCACCCTTGACCCAAATAAATGAGGATTTTATAAACAGGATTCATAAACAGGATTACTGACATTACAGGGTACACCCCAGGTATATTAAATCGGACTTATGAAGCAAGACCCTAAAGATGTCTGGAAAAAAACATCAGATTGTGACTGATCCTGCTGGCTTATCTGGAGATTGAAGTTGCTGATGAAGTCCCCCTTCACTGAGTCATGTGCAAATGTGCAGTACGGCTCTCTTTTAATGAGGTGAGCATTCATTAGTTCTGGTAGAGTGGATCAGAGCGGGCACAATGGTCCAACACAAGTCTCAAGTCTCTCAGAGTCAAGTCTCTGTTTGCAGTGGCAAGTCCAAGTCAAGTCTCTCAATAACATCAAAATAAAAATGTAAATGAAATTGCTCAGACTATATCATACCATCTCATAAATACATATTGGGTTACTTAAAATTATATTGTGTTTTATTTGACATTAATCTGAGTGAGTTAAAGAAATGACACAGCACAGCAGGAACATATAAACATTTGCGGCTTAAATTGTTATGGATTCATAAGGTATCTGTCTAAAGTCACAACTGAAGGAGAAAAAGTGCCACTAAAGAGGCAAAAAACCTATCGCAGTGTAATTCTTTGGGGTGTACACAGAACTTTCAGGGGCTGGGGCACCTCTAGCATCTCTCCTCTTTTCACAGCACTGTTACCTGTCTCTTTCTGACATTTTCATTTTGCTTTCTGAGACAGTTTTTTTTTGAAAAAACTTATCAGCAGGACCTCAAATAAGGAGCAACATAAGCTGCCATCCAAGACATGTCTTTTTCAGAGATGTCCCTGCTTATTTCAGCGCCAAGACACATTCTGCATGTGTTACAACAGCACGGCTTCAGAGTAAAAGAGTGAAGGTACTAGACTGGCCCGCCTGCAGTCCAGACCTGTTCCTCACTGAAAATGTGTGAATTAGTCAGCAGCACCAAAACAAGAAATTCTCCTCACTGAGTTGGAGGAGACAGAAATCTCTAAATCTTGGTTTATTCTAGTTGACAAGGGTTCAGAGACTAGCCTGGCGCTGACAAGCTAGTTCAGCTGGCTGATGGGTCTGGAAAACAACATTATGATAGGGCCCCTGAGAGCGTCTGTAAAGACCTTTAATCTATCAAATTAACACAAAGTGTTACAAATAGCATAGCAAAAGAAAGACAGGAAGCAGCATGCAGAGTAAAGAAGGATGTTCAGACTTTCCAGGGACAGAGGCTGCCATCTTGGTTATTGGAAATATGCTGCAGGAGCACTCCTCTGTAGCTCCAGACCCACATGCCTACGAAAATGAGTATGAGCTGGCTGATGGGTCTGGAAACACCAGGCTAGCCAGGAACGTGACTTTCAAACAATGCTTCTTTCTTACCCTGGGATATGTAAATAAACATCTGTTTGATTTCCCAGAATGCCAAATCAAGATTATGGTTGGTAATCCATCAGTGCTGTGTTTACATCCTCATCCCTACAGCCTCCAGGTGATCATGAGGAGGACCGAAATAGAAACAGCCCACACAGTCTCAACTGTAGTCAAACACTCGTAGGTCTTGACTGAAAACTTTAACAAAAGCCATTGTGTGTGTGCTGAAAGAAAAGCAATGCAGCAAGTTCTGTTACTGGAGGATAACATAAAAGCTCTAAGAAAAAATGTAGAGACAGAACACAAAGTCAAGGTTTCTATGAAACATCATGGTGTTGTAAAGCTGAAGGCTGCTGGTTTAGTAACGACAGCACAAAAGAGACACATGGGGAAAAAAAACCCTCTGTTGCACAGGCTATTGTTGTTGGTACTTATTCGATTGTGCATTAGTTTGTAAAGTATGTGTAAAATGTGCATCTACTATGGAAACCCATTAAAGGAGACAATCCAAGCTTAACAAATATTCACTCTCAGGTTTTAAACACATCTTACCTCACCTTACAATTAAAAAAAATCTCCTTTGTATCTTGTGTTTTTGTCTACAAGCATATTTTCAAGTTATTGCTGTAATTTGAGTGATATTAGTTCCAGTCCTCCCCTTAGTCATTTGTGTATCATGTGCCTCATGAGGCCAGTGTCAGCAAGTTCTACATTTTACATTTTTAGTCTCAATATAGATACAAAGATTAATCCTCACCATCTAGCACTGTGTTGGTCTATGTCCTCTCTCTGGAAGCTGTATCAGTAAATCATACGCAGAGGCGTATTCAGGCTGTCTGAGGGATAGGGGTGAAGAAAGAAAAAACAAAAAAGGCCACCTGCTGTATGCTGTGGGGTACAAACATACAGAAAAAGAAATAACGCAGAGGAAAACAGACAAAAATTCAAAACTCTTCCTGCACATTTGAGCCAAATTTCATCTGCTATTTTCCATGTGATCATCCTAAAACTGACACATTCAACATAATCAGATAACACATTTCTGTTTGATACTTAAACACTTTAACTAGAAACAAAGACTCTCCAGTCAAACATAACTAATGAAGCTGAATTTTCAAGTGGGGGCTTAATCACATTTTATCCATTGAAAGGTAGAGTACTTTCTAATCTCTATCTTCTACAGCAGCAGCATTCAAGAGGACGCTTATGTGCTATTGTTTTAGGCAATGCTACTCCTGCTGCTCTTCAGGGTACACCAGTGATCGCAAGAACTACAGTTGAAATTTCTACAGTTTATATATAATAATGGAAAATTTGTTTGATTTTTATCATATGTAATTATTAAAAAAACACTACTTTAGGGTCAAACATGCAAAGAACATCTGCATCTCTGCACCACCATCTGATTTTTTGGTGCAATTTTGGAGTCAGGCCAACATTGCTGACATCCTCTTTTCACTCAGATTTCTCTGTTTATTCGACGCTGTGGAGACTTGAGTTTGCATGAGGGTCATGTAATGCTCAGGAAAGGCAGAGATAGAAAGGCAGTATTTCAGGTGACTCATTAAGAGAATGAAGGGGTCAGAGTTAGAAGAGAAAGATAAGAAGAATTTTATTTATCTCCAAGGGGAAATTTAATTGTCTGGATTACCGTCTCCATTTTTAAATCACATATTATTTACAGTCAAGTAGTAGAGTCTGATCTTTGTAATGTCTCAGTACTGCATTGAAGTGAAAGAAGCTGAGAGAAGAAGTTTATCAGAGCGGTCCATTTCAAAGATTTGTATATTTCACTTTTTTAAAAGTTTAACCTTTAGGTAAAATCCCAATGAGATCATGATCTCATTTACAAGGGCAACTTGGCAAAGAGGTCAGCAATATACGTCATTATAAATACAAATTCAAGAACAAATCTAGAGCAATAAACAACAAGCAACAGATATGGTAAGGGAACCAACAAATTCACAGTTCAAGTGCAACAATAATTTTGGAACCATTACTATTTCAAAACACAGGCATTGTTCATATAGGATTCTCGCTGCTTTGTGAGTAAAATGGAATGAAAATCTTGAATTGAAACCAGTTCTGACATTTTGAGTTCTGTTTAAACTTGACTTTGTTTAGGACACGTTTAACTCCTGCAACATGATCTGGCCTGAGCCGAAGAACGTGTGGTCGACAGCTTTCATCCTCTACACTGCCACAGTGGGCTTCTTTGGGCCGCTGCTCATCATCTGCCTCTGCTACCTACTCATCGTCATCAAGGTACGTTTATGAGGCTGATTAAAAAACTCATGTATAAATTCATACCAACATCTGTCTCCAAATTATGCTAATTTCCATCAGCCTCATCTTCCACACACTCCTCTTCCTCCTCTTCAGTGTCATTATCTCGCTTATGTTCATCCTCCCCCTCATCATCATAATCAGACTACCTTTGGTGGGTTCTCTCTTCAGGTGAAGTCATCAGGGGTGCGGGCGGGCTTCACCAAACGTCGCCGTTCAGAGCGTAAAGTGACGAGGATGGTGGTGGTGATCGTGGTGGTGTTTGTGCTCTGCTGGCTGCCGTTCTTCATCATCAACATGATCAACCTTGTGGTCATCATCCCAGAGTCCAGCGCCACTGCAGGCATCTACTTTTTTGCCGTCATCCTGTCCTATGCCAACTCCTGCGCCAACCCGGTGCTCTACGGGTTCCTGTCAGAAAACTTCAAACAGAGCTTCAGAAAAGTAGGCTCGATATCTTCAGAGTAGAAACAACTGTAAATGTAAAGACATAGCCGGGTTTTAGAAATCTGACTAAATGCTTGATTTTTTGTTTCCAATGAGGCCACAGCCAGAGAAAAAAAATCTGAAATAAACCAATAAATGTCAACAAAGTTTACAGGTGAAGTCATAGTTCTGTACACAGAAACAAAATTTAACCAGTCTTCTCTTTTAAGTAGTTGTATGAGGTACTTGTCAATAATTAGCATTTTATACATATTGATGAACTCTGCCCTTTTATTGAGAAATGGGATTGAGAATTGGCACAGAAGTTTGGCTATCAGAAACTGCAGATTAGGTCAATTTAACCACATCTTTTAGCAAATTTAAAGCTCCCATATGGAGTTTTTTTGATATCCATGAAGTTGACTTTCATTCTTACTGGTGCCTGATGGTAAACAAGACTATCAGTGACAAACATGATGATTGTTATTTCCAAATTTTTAATGCCTGAAACCAGTGCTAAAGGGTAGGTGTCAGTCAAGCAGCTGGAGAAACAGACATGTTTTTACAATCTCCACAGGAAGCTTTCAAAATAAGTGACACATTTCACTGTCAAAAGTTATAAGAACAAAGGTTTTTGGTCAAAAGTCACTGCTCAAGCATGTAGATGTTAAGATTAAAAAAAGACTGCTCACAAGGGGGGCCAAAACTGACATGAATCAAAAGTTTCTTATGTGAACTTTAAATAAAGTAAAAGCCATTCATATAAGTTAGTATAACTGTCTGAGTAACTCTTAATACAACTCCACTTCTTATAATGCATCACAGACACATTTATTAAGTCTTATGGATACACCTTTGAGGCTTTATGCCTTTTGGTTGATAATCAGCATTCATAACAGCTTATAGCAATGCTTATGAAGTGTTATAAGTAGTGAGCATAATGCCTTATAATAAGAAGATAATGTAGTTACACATAATGCAATCTATAATTAATTATGCAATAATGTAAAAAAAAACCATATTATAATCATAAAAATGCATAATTGTTACATAGTAAGAATTATTCTGCCTTATACTAAATTGCTAATTATGAAGTATAAGGCTGTATGAAGCCTTAAATCCCAATATGTTGATAAAAGTCCTGGTACATACGGGGTTAAATGTAGAAGTAGCAGTCCTACGTGCACAGGGTGCAACAGTCTGCCTAAAGCACTGCCTCAGGCTTTAACATGTAATATCTAAGAAATCCTTATCTTGGTGTTATCTGGTGTTGTTATTGGAAATGACAGCCTCACACAGCACTCATCCCTAAACAACTGACATAGGGGGGCCCTAGATAAATCTGAACCAGAAACATGCAGACAACAGGAATTTCTGGTCAACCCTTCAATGCTTTTTGTATCATATTTGATACATACTTTAATGATACTTCTATCAAATCAATATGATCAACAAGTTACAAAAAAAAAAAAAAAAAAAAACACCTGAATACAATCCAATAAATGATAAATGTCCTCTAATGGTTTATCAGTTTACAAAAACATCTAATGTATCAAACGAGATGAATATATTTATTTGTTGTTTATTTGTTAAATTTTAAGGACATTTTGATTCTGGGGGTTTTCAGTAGTAAGTGAGATAAACATTTCAGCCCCCCAAAAATTAGAATTTTCTGGCCATAATTAATGGTTTCAGGCATTGAAGGGTTAAATGAAAGATAGTCATCAGAAGGATACAGTAGCATCAACAGAGAGTGGCTTTAATCAGAATGAAATTACTCTCCAAACTCTGACCCCAGATCCTCCTCTGACGATTGATCAGACATCCTTGTTGTGTGTTGCAGGTGTTATGTATCAGGAGTATGCGGTGCAAAGCCAGCGGAGTCAATGATGGAGACCCCAGCCTTCCCCGCACTGAGAAAACCACAGCGCACGACTGTGTCCTGCTCTCCCCTCGGAACCAGGTTTACCAGGACCCACAGAGCAGCCAGGTAAGAATTAAGACTTAAGATGAGCTTTATTTACCCCTGAAGGGAAATTCAATTCAATTCAATTCAATTCAATAAATTCAACAGTGGCCAGAGAAAGCAGATAGAGAGGTATTAATGTTTCATCGTGACTGCTGCACATGGTTCTCTGCTATTTTAACAGATATGGTTAGATGTGTCGATAGTTCACATTCACAGGTGTTTGTGCACACTCACACGCACACTCATCATCAGGTTTGATCAGCTCTGATACATCAGGTTTGGCAGTTCTCCTAATGAAGAGGAGTCCAGCACTTCCGTACCCATCAACAGGCAGATATATTTGTGTGTGTGTGTGTCTGTATGTGTGTGTGTGTAGGAGTAGCTAATTGAAAAGGATGGCAAATCAGTGCTACGTAAGGGTTTTGATGAATTATAACCTGAGGCAGGAAGTTAAAGATTATAGGATAATTTGTGTGTGTTTGTGTGTGTGTGTGTGTCTGTGTGTGTGTGTTTGTGTATCAGAAAGACGAGGCATGACCTACCCATCAGAGAGCAAGGCCCTTCATAACAGCATTATGTGGGCAATCAACTAAATTAATGATTTTTTTTTGGAACATAGTGACTTAAATCTTGTGACGTAAAAAATCTACTTGATTTTGAAAACAACAATTTTACAACAACTAAATTCCCTAAATAAAATGAATTAATTACAACTTAATTTTTTTAATCAAATCATGACTTCACTGTGACTTTATTCTTGGAAAAAACTGATGATTATGTCTCAACTTTACCGCAGTAATTTAATGAGTTTACCACAACTTTATTCTCACAGGAAAAAAGTGATTTTAACGTGACTTTATTCTGGCTAGAAAATGTTTTTCTTTCACTTTTTGAATTATGAAATGATTAGATTATAACCTTATCCTCAGCCGATGACAGAGCTCAGTGTTTTGGCCCCACCCTCTGTATAGCGTTCAATCAGTAGAGCAGTAGAGCAGAGTTACGCTGCTCTGCTGTGGGTGTCACAGGCAGATTGTTGGAGGTTTTGCTGGAAGCTCAGATGTACTAGTAAGTATGGTGGCCGAGAACCGCCACTGCTGCAGATGAAAAAGAATGCAAAAAAAAAAAAGAAGCCACAAAGGAAGTTATCAATGCAAAAAGAGAAACTGAAGCCCGCTGCAAATAAAAAAAGAAACGGTGCAGACAAAAAAGCCACAACAGAAGTTGCTGACAAAAAAAAAGTGACAATGGAGAAAAAAAAAAAAAATTACTTCCTGCGAAAATAAAAGGATGCAAATACTGAAGCTAACACTACACCGGCATCCACCAGTTCACCTTCATATCAACTCAGGCGCAACATGGCCTAACCAAACGACACGTTGAAAAGCACACGAGGTGAAATTAAACAATAACCTTTCCACTTACTTCTGTTGTGGCTTCTTTTTTTTGCTTTCTTTTTATTTGCAGCAGTGGCGACTCTTGGCCACCGTAAGTAAGGAAAGCCTGTTATGATGATTGCAGCATTGTGTAACATTTTAGTGAGTCTTGTGTTTTCTCCAAGGTCCTGTTTTGAGCAATTTCTATCTTTTTCTTAAGATGATGACGTGTTTACCTCGTGATTTCAAAATTAGCATACATCTAGTATGGACACCAAACATTGTAACTTTGCATTTTCCGATGTAAATGTCGAAAAGTATAATAGCATCCCTTTAAGTCTTTCTGTCCTGTTAAAGATTAGCAAGACAGTAACGTTCATTATGAGTCAAATCTGTAAAATACATAATCCTGGCGCTCCTGAAATTTCCTGATGATGTCTCAGTGGGTAAAATGAGTTTCCCCCGACTTTTCTGTCAGCCTCTTCAAATAAAGTCTCTGTGGCTCTAGGTGAGCTGATATGTGACGACGACAGCTAAAAGTCAGGAACATATACTGTGGGCCAGAGGGCAGGATGACACTGTCACTCATGTTGATTGAAGTCTTCACTGTTGCTGTCTGCAGACTGTTTGACCATGTTGTTTTCATCCTGCAAAAATGTCCTTGGTCTTTTTGTAGTAATACAAACACAGAAAACCTGCGCCCCTCCTCCACAGACCCCAAACAAAGTACTTTCTGAGTCCCTGTTTATTCTTTGAACTTGAACTCTTAGTTATTCTTTGTTGCCTTAGTCCTGTTTTTTTTTTTTTTTTGGGTTATGGTTTGTCCTTCCCCTCACGACTGACTGTCTTCTTCTGTGTTTTCTCTGAAGATCTCCCCTCAACCTCCTGGCTCACCTACCTCTCACACAGCTGCAGACCTGCACAGCTCCACCCCTACCTGTCTATCTCCCTCTCCCTGCCCAGGAATCGAACCCACGACTGCCATTGTAACCTCTACAGCAGCATCTACTTTAACCTCCATGGTGACCCCGGCTGAACTGCCCACCATCACTGCCCTGACGATCCCCCCCTCGTCTTCAGCTGTAGCCCCACTGCAAGAGTAGCCAAGAGGCGACAGGTGTTTTAGAGAGGGGGGAAACAGAGTGAAAAACAAATATGTCACAGTATTAGCTTCTGCTTTTTTTCTGCTGTTTTTAAACCCATAAACCCTTTTCTTGGACTATTATTAGACACGCACTTACTCACTCATTCACCCTCTCACTCAAAATGCATTACAACACCTGTGTTCCCTATTGATAAAAAATCTCATGAATAACTTTTCAGGTTTCCTTTTGTATCTGTACCTGTTGAAGCACCAAGCTGTGTACAAGCCCATTTTCTTTCCATTCAGCTTTCTGACATAAGTGCCTTTTCAGCCCCTCTCAGCAACCATCATGGAAGCTAAACAGTCACACGGGAACATAATCTCTTTTCCTTTCACACATTATGTTTGTCTGTCACACAATACAAAGGTGTGTGTTAATCACCAACAATTGAAGCTGGAGAGGGTTTCTTATAGACACATCCATATATATGCAGCTGTGATGGCAGCTGCTGCCTGCATTATACTAGAAATGATATAATCGAAAGTCATTTTAAAAGTGATTACCTACGACAGGGACCATAGTTAAATACACACAAAATGTTATGTGATGTTGGTTTGATGTCTTTCATGAATTTCTGATCAGGGATCTTCAACATTTTTAATGCCGAAACTGGTGTGAGGAGGTCAGCCAGGCAGCAGAATAGACAGCACAAGATGAGAAACAGCTTAACATATTTGTTCATAATGACGCAGGATGAGATTTGTAGTCAAAAATCACCACACGAGCATGTAGACCACAAGATTAGCAGAGATCGTAGGGACTGCAGAAGCTTAACATATAAAGCATCCTAGTTGTCGCATGGTGATAAACAATAAAATACATCAGTTCACCAACAGGGCAACAAAACTACAAATATCTATGTACTCTGTGCGGCCAGTAAGTGTATTTGTACGGTTTTCTCTCCATGAAATCAAGGCAAGGCAAGTTTATTTGTATAGCACCACTTACACACAAGGCAATTCAAAGTGCTTTACAGATGCAAGGAAATATATCGGAGATGAAAAAAGAGAGATTATAACAATTTAAAATCAAGAAGACAAACAGATAATTTTTTTCGTCTGTTCCGTGTTTACCCTAATTATTTAAAAACGAAATAAGTCGAAGCTATCAGACCCTCCTCAGCCCGAGTCTCCAAGAATCGATAGGTCCCCAAGACCTCAGTGCATAGAGGGTCTCTGACTCGCAGCTCCCCAGCCTTTTACCCGTTCTTCCAATTTCATTAGTTAGGTCCCAATTTGGTTTTATTCCCCTGAGAAACTTGCAACAGAGGAAGCATTTGCCAGCTGAAAATAAAAAAAAATACTCAAATGTAATTTAAAAAAATTTAAAAAAGTTGAAAATGTTGAAAATAAAGGCTGGTGTTTTGTGCAAAGTGGACAGAGTAAAAGTTTGGCCTGACAGTGACAGATTTGTGTCCAAGTGAAGTTAAATCGTGAGTAAAGGTCCAAGTAGAAAACTGCTTACTGGGGACGGCCAGTGTTAAAATGTGCCACAGCTGTGAACTCTGGGTAATTTTTCATCTTGTTTGTAGGTATTTAATATCGAAGGTTTACAAGATCCTCTTTATACACCAACACTGTGATTAGTGCTACAAAGATGATTAAAAGTTTTAAAAGATGTTAATTCAGACAAAAAAAAAAACCCTGCCTTAATCCGACAGCTGCACAGCACTTCTTAAACATCAAGTTTAAATGTAAAATATGTAAAGACTAAGCTGTGATGAATGTTGATATCTGTTCTCGTTTGTGGGATATTTTCTGCAAATTGTTTGTATTCTGATGAAAAAAAAAAGACCTTGTTTCTGTTTGTCAGCTTTTTAGAGTCTTTGCCAGCTCAATGTCTTTTTTACAAACGTGACCAACAGTGAACACGAAACCTCTGACCTCTCTGTAAATATGCCTCTTCATTTGTACGCTCTTATTTGGCTATGTCACGACTCTGTGTGTCTGTCCTTGCATGTGTCAATGCATCGACGTTTGTTTCTGGTTTACACATGTCTGTAAATATTTTCTCTGCAGTAGCTGTGACTCTGATAAACCCAGGGTTTAAAGCAGCATATGTGTAAAGTAACAGTTGTGACTGTGTAACATGATTTGCTCAGCGTTGTGTTTTCTGTTTTTTCTGGTGTTGCGTCAGATCACACTGGCAGCTCAGTACCTCAGCTGTAACAGCCTGCAGGAATGCCTTTGACCCTGGAAATACTTTGACCAACTACCCTTGAGCTTGTATTATGAAAGGTCAAGTGCTGCTTTTAGGACCATTTAAGGACAATCATACAGTACAAAACTAGTCTCTGACTGGCTGGTACAACCACTTCAAAATCACTTATTAGGTCACTGCTTGTGTGCTTTGTGCCACTGCTGGCTGCAAAAGATCAAATTCACCTTAATAGGAAATTTGAATATGAAAAAAACTTGTCAATGTTAGACAGCTTCTCCTTTTATTGGTTGTCTGGTTGTGTGGCCACAGTACTAGCGCAAAAATATGCTTCTATGTAAGTTGTATTGTGTATAAATATTGATGCGATATCAGTGTTTTTTCATCGTTTAATAAAAAAGAAGCGGATTAGAATTGACTCTCACATTAGGAGTATGAGTTCATTGTAGTAGCACACGAGCATCATTAGTAAAAGTAACAACAATGGATGTTCATCTCTTTTTCAACCACTTTTCATGAGTGTAAAGAAAGAGAGAAAGGCCTTTGTGACCAGGTGCAAGAAAAAAATTGAATCAGGTGCATATCATGAAAAGGTGATGACAGAAAAACCAGCAGAGGGAGAGAAAATAAAGGCTGCTAACTATGTTGGCTTGACAGAGACCGCGTTGTGCATTTCTTCAGATTATTGAAGTTGTTCAGTGTTGTTGCTTTTTGTTTGTTGGATTTTTTTAAAATAAAATTGTCTGTTTGAAATCAAATCATGCCTGATTGGTGTGGTGATGGATAAACACTTTTATCTGCAATCACCAAACTGTGACACATAAAGCCTCAGCTAAACAATGATACTTCAACAATCACAGCCTCATCTGTACCTGGACTAGTCTGAAGATTTCAGTGTGAAACTGAGTTAACTATTGACAAAAGTCAAAATCAGACCTCACTTAAAAAACTGTGAAGTGCAGAAATATTCTAAAAAATACATAATTTGTTGAAAAATGTTCCACATATGCAAATATTTTTAGCTTTTCTTAAGTGATGCAATCTGCTTTTTCAGGAAATAAGTGATAGTGGTACAAGAATCATTGTATAACAGTACGTCAATGCCATGCATGCCAGCATTTATGTGTAACCTGCTGTATGAATTATGTACTGTAAATGTATGTAGGTGCTTTTTTATTGATGTATGGCAGCTGCTTGCACATGTGCTTAGTTGTAGGTTAACACACTCACAGAAATATGTAAGCAAATATCCATCGATTTGAATTATTTAGATTTAACATAAACAGGCCAATAAACTGTATGTGCTGCATATTTGTCCGTCAAATGTAAATGAAACAATTAAGAATTAGATTTATGTAGTAATATCAATAAACCCAATGTGTTTTGAATAAATAATGACAGATCTATGTATTCATCATTGATACATCCAATTTCTTTCTGTCTCAAAAACTTTAACTACATGAATCCTGGTTGATCCACACAGCTCTTCATATTTAAGCTATATTCATACATTTTAATGAATTACATTGAATTGTTTTCAGAATAACTGATTTATGCAGATTTGAGGAAATTTGAAAAAATAAAATTTAAAAAAAGTAATAATTTAAATAAAATCTACTAGATGCAAATACTTAAAAATAAAGTATGCCATAATTCATTTTTGTAAGTGTATGATGAATACTGCAAACCTACTACATCCTGACTGTACATTGCGTCATAGCTAAAAGTGCATAGTTACACCTTCACTGACTTTGCACCACGGGTTTTAAACCATAAATTATTTAAATGGGGCCCAATCTGTTACAGAGAAAGTAAAAAAATAAAGTTAAAAAAGCACCTACATACATCTACAGTACATGTTACTCCTCTGCTGGCCCCTTTTGCATTCCTCTCCTCTGTCCATGTCTGTGACTTTAGATATCTGTATTTTCAATTTTTTTATTTGGACCATTAAGACTTTGAACAATCTGGACCAATACAGTGGTACTAGCAACAGACAAGTTTTGCTTTGCTTCTTTCGTGTTTCAATCACCCCCAGTGAAAACAAAAGTGTTCAAGGGATATTCCGGCGTAAAATTAATTTAGGGTCAAACACACCATAATACCAAGTTAGACACCTCGTCAAGAGATGAATGCTGCCAACCACTTGCTTTTCTATACGATAGCAATACACAGCGGTCTGAGGAAACACACACAAACCTCAACCAAATCGCCACTCTAGCCACAAATAATGCTCAGAACAGCACCTAACTTCATCAACAGTTCATATAGGGCCACAGCACTAGCCACCAAACATCTTTTTAACTTTGCCTAACTTCTTTAGTAAAGAGACTAAACACAACTCACCTACTCTCTTCCAGCAGCCACTTGTTTGTATGGAGACCTCAGGCAAGTCCATCACCAACTGCAGCGGGGTGACGCAGCTCAAGGAACAACCTTTTATGATCATTACATTATCATTTCCTTGAAATAATAATCATCAATTACCATTTTGCACTGCAGACGCAGTAGTTCTTCTGCTTTAGCGTCTCGGTCTGATTGTATTTCCATGAAGAAATCACGGAATATGGCGTGCTGACATGCACACTGAAAATAGTTTTATCCAAACCAGGTTGGATTAAGTGTTAAAAGAGCTAGCTGTCAACTGAGTGGGGTAAGTTGACTCTAAATCACACAATTCTCTGGAAACGAACTGATCATCTTATCCATGAGCTTCACTCTTCTAACCTGCCCATTAACTAAGTTTGAGTTGAAGATAGTGATGTCACAAGGGGTGAAAGTAAGCCGGTATGCAGCGGTACACAAACTTTCACCCCTGCAATGTCTGTAGGCTACATTTGCTTACCGTGTTGTCAGACGTCAGTCCGCACTCTGCATTGTAACCGTAGTAATCCAATAGAACCATGCTGCTTGCGAGTGAGTCGTATTTGCTTCCGCAAACAAACAAATCCCGGAAGTAGGAGCGCTCAGTGCGCACTTTTTGATTTGGACGAGGGTTGCCCAGGCGCTGGAGATCGCCTCCCGCCTTTTGCGGAAGGAGGAAACTTATAAGAGACAGCTGCTTCAATCTTAATGCAGAAATAAAACAAAAGGCAGAGAAAAAATGATTTTATGTTCAAGAGGAAGAGAAATGCAGCAGATGATGATACTGTGGCATCAGAGCAAGTTGAGGAGCTACCAGGAGTGGGTAAGCTACTGACAAATGGCTGATAATGTTACTGTATCAGAACAACAGTAGGTTAACATATGAATCCTTTTATTTGTATCTAAATACAGGTGTATAGCAATAAATTAAAATAGATATATTCTAATTTATGGCATACTTGAATAAATTGTGCAACAGAAGCATGAAGATGACTATAAATGTGATTTATTGTTCTCAAATTATTTGAGGAACTGTATGTGGCTTCACACTATGTCCCTATTGTATTTTCCAGTTAATAAATCATACCTGTTTAACTTGGGTGTGCTCCTCTTGTACAAAGCCTACAGGTGCAATACCTGCAAGAACCTTATCCTACTTTCATCCCTGTGAGGAAGTGGTCCAGATAAATGTCTGTGCATCAGTTGGCACCATCTGATCCCCACCAGTTTGATTCCAGACCACAGCAGAGGGCTTTACTGTTCTTCAGCTTGTTGTGAGACACATGTGGAGGCTGGTGCACTGTCGGATCAATAAAACCACAGAGCTGCAGTAAGAACAGTTGTTTCAGAAGACAGCAACACTATCAGCAAGCCGGTGAGAAATAAAATCAAACCTCCGATCCTATGGCACTAATGCAGCCCACTAGTACTCCTCACCTAGAGAGGGATTTGCTTTGAATAAGTGTTACTGAATTTAATTACAAATTATAATTCCTTTGTCCTTTGAGATTTTCATTATATGCAAGCAAGTTGAAGTAAGTGTTTCCAGAGCGGTGCGGTCTTTTCCTTCTCCTATCTTTGTACAAACTGTAAAACAAAGCTGTTATTGTCAGAACAATCTCCGCTCATTAACAGCTGAATTAATAAGCTTTTGGCAGTCAAAAAGTTCTGGTTTATTAGCTCACTCCATCATTACCAGTGTAGGGTGTTATATGTACAGTATTAGTGATTATAAGAGAAAGAAACAGCCCATGTTCTCAATATCAAATGAACAGAGACCAGAATAAAACCATCAGATAAAGAATAGTCTCAAGGTTAAAATGACATCTGAAGCTTGAAAGGATAATTATGTCAGTGAAAGGAAAAAGACATGAAGTCCTGAGGGGTGAAAGGAACTTGTAGCATTAATCTATGTTGGCTGATGTTTGAGTCTTTTGTGCTCTCTATCCGCAGCAGAAAATGTAAAGTGTGTCTTAATAAAGGGTGACCAAGAGATAGATACATATTTTTTTTGTAAGTTTGTGAGAGCTATTTTTGTTAGTGTTGGATTGGTAAAAGAGCAGAGTTATTATTATTATTATTATTATTATTATTATTATTATTATTATTTGTTGTTGTTGTTATTTATTACTTATTTATTTTTCTAATACAGAAGAGACATTATTTCTATCATTATTTCATTATTTTTCAAACTTGTCAAAGTAAAACATATTGAGTTACCTCTAAGAAGACTATCTGAATTTGTGTCTTTGGTTATAGATAGTATTTGGTAATATAACCGTTCTTTATCCATACAGAGGAGGCATACTTTGAATCTGTTGAAATTGTAAAGCATCTTTGAGTAAACTTTCATTATTATTCGAGTATCTCATTGCAGGGCCAAGTGTCCTGCTTTTCAGTAATCCAATGGTCACCCCACTAAATATAACCTCCAGCAGCTCCTCTTAACCTCCGGAGTAATTAATGCGGAAGAAAAATCCTTCTGGTTCTTTTCAGATCTCCACCTGCATTGAGTCAGAGCCCATTATTACATTCACATGTGACCCAGTGAATAACAAGTTCAAGATAACAGACTGCATTCATCGATAGGCTCATATTAAAGCACAGAGTGTTATATGTTGGCTGTAGTGTACAACTAACCACACTGTTCTTTGCACTGCTAGTTTCACATATTTATTTCAGCTATTCAAGGTTGTGATTGACATGTCAGGCTTGTTGGTAAAGTGGCCTTCAGCGCTTGTCATATGCTCCCTTGCAGAACGTACTCTGGCTTAAGACTGGATGTTGACCTCATGGGGTTTGACTGTCACTCAGAATATCTATTTACAGACTTACAGGCTGACTGTTCGATTTACTGCAAGACAAAAGTCTGAAAAAATCCCAAGGATAAGATAAAACCCTGTTTGGACATCACACAAAAACAGAATGAATGAAAAACTCTCCGTAAATTGAGATTTTAAGCTCAAAACACCTGTGATTGGAAAGGATAGCATCTGTAAACGTATTTTACACTTAAAAGTGTTGTAAAAGTGAGGAAATATAACACCTTTAAACAACAGAGCAACTTACTTATCAGTGAAATAACAACCATAGATCAGAGGGCTTGTAAATTAGCTGCAACACTTTTTATGTGCTGAAATGATTGTGGAAATCAAAGACATGCTGACATGCTTTGAACATAGTAATTGACAAGTAAACCTATGGTCATCACATGGTTGTAATAACATAATCCAATTTTTATATCATTCAATTTCAGTCATGATTTGTGGACCAGCACTGTTTATTTAGTTTGTACAGGTAAGCAGGTGTGCAACATGTGCAAACCTTTTTCTGATAGTGAAGAAGTTTTAGTGTTCACTCCTAACAAAAGTTACTCTGATAGGAAAATTGTATT